ATTAAGTTTAGAAATGATTATACATTTAGACTATATTTCTTAATAAATTTCCTCACATAAATTGTGCCTAATCTATAAACCAATTTTAAACAAAATCCATCATGCCAGGCATTTTACATCTTATTCTATTTATTGCCCCATTTCTCATCAGAAACCTTTTAGCTTTAATGCTATTCCAAGGCAGAGTATCTCATTAGAGTGGCAAAGATAAAGTTCTTTTTGAGATAAAGTAATTATAGTGATTGTAGAGGGAAAAAAATCATCCAAACTCCTTGGCTGCAGTAATCTCCTGGCTTCTGATTAATTTTAAGACTAATAAACTAAGTGCAAACAAAAAGATGTTAGTGTGGATAACACTGGGTACCTGGAGCTGTGCTGAGAGATTAGCAACCTGCAGAATTGATCAGAACTGGGCTCCTGCAGGACTTTGCCCCCAGGCAGACATTCCAAAGCAAAACTCTGCATTTCTCTCTCAGTTCACCTCCATGCCCTTCCGTCTTCTAAGGATGACTAGATTCAAGAACTTCACTTTCCTCCATGTGTACCTGGACTCTATTTTAAGTCTATTTCCAGTTAGAAGGACCAGACCAGTTGGCTTAGTTTTCTCGAAGAGGCCCAAGTCACCTAGAATTCAGCAGTGACTGGTGGTGATGGGGGAAGGGGAGGACACCCTTCCAGAATCGGGGGAGCACATGCCAGGACCCAGTGAGAGCAGCCTGCGGGGTGAGGAGCAACCGTCAGAATGATTCCCAGGGACGGATGCCAGGCCATCAGCACCCAGGCTAACTAAGCCACCCGTCCAGTGAGGACCCTCACAGTCACAGGTCTAATGGTGTTCTGTTTACATCAACAGGCGCTTGGAGAAGTCTTTGAGTGAAACAGCGAAGTGGGTTATTTTAAGTGACCCTCTCACTGCTCAAGAACACAGTCAGAAACATACAGCCACGTACAAGGCACCCCAGGTGTGTCCAGCCCTGTCTCATGTGGGCATGGACCCAGGTGGGCAGCCTTAGCGCCAGCTTCTCCCCTGCATGCCAGTGAGCACTCACTTTTCTAAAGGCTATTTTGATCTAGGTGGAACCCTGGTCAAGATCACCATGAAATAAAGAAGACATTTGGGTCTGGAAACAGAAGAGGAACTGGTGGGCAAGATGATTCTCAACTCGCCCCTGAGATCAGGTCCAATTCAGACTCAAAGGAACTCTGGGGATGGGAAGAGGACGTCCATCTTCCCTGCCAACTTGTACATTATGAATACCACATCCAACAGGGGATGCGGTTCTAACTAGAGCACCACGTGGGAGAGGCAGCTCATCGTTGCTACGTGTACTATTTAAATAAAGTTGAGGAAACAGTGGCATTATGAATGAACCCCCAACCACCAGGATGCAGGAGGGGACCACACAGACACGAGATGCACGGAGCTGGCTGCAACCTGCTTTCTGCAGATGAGAAGAAAAAAAAATGATTGAAATGGCTAAGGAGGTTCCATTTTTTCTCCTTATGTATAAAAATCTCTTTGCAGACATTCAAACAAACCACATACCACTCCACTGTAACTAGTCACCCACCTAAAATCCTATATTCTCTTTTATGTTTTCATGACCAAAAATTATGTAAGTTATTGATCTTCATAAAGATCTAGAAAATGAAACCCAAGAGTTGCCCATTTTCTGCAGAGAAATCATTCCCCTTGGCAAAGTCCAGCAGCTCCTCCATGGCTGCAGGCTAATCAGCAATGTGACTGGCCCGCAGCTCCTAGGGGTCCTATCAGGAGGTTTTACTGAGTGTGTGGTTTTTCTAGAACAAAATATTGAAATGTCTGATCTTCTGCTATGTGCAAGTTATGCTACCTCTGGTAACTACTAAAAATATGGATCAATTCTCTTTAAATCATGTTTATTCCATTTTTCCTGAATCTTTAAATGTATTTTTTTCCAAGAGTATTCTTGAGTGACATTTTAAGTACAAAGGAAGTAGTTAGATAATAGAACATTGATTACTGGATTTGTATAGTAAGCAACATATCCTACAAAAGGTCAAGGCTTTGGAAAAATGAAGAGAATTTTTTTTTTTTTTTTTTTTACTCTTGGCTCAATTATTATTTAAGCTGTAACTTTGGGCTCTTTACTTAAACTAAAAGAGTCTCTTTGTTTAAAACATTGCATAATACTATCTACTTTGCAGGTCTATCACGCAAATTAGAGACAAATATAATGATATAGAGGTAAGCAGGGAATAATAAATCACCACAAACACATAATCATTACTAGGACTGATATGATTATAAAATGCCACACAGAATTCCTGAAGGGTGTGCACCTATGGAATCAAGGTGTGAAGGTTCAAATACAATTGTCACTCATTCAACATGGTGGCTCTGTGAGGGGTGGAAGATAGGCCAGATAGTTCCAGGACAACGTAAGAGAGGGGTCAGTGATGCCCAGAGTAGTAAACAGTGTGACAGTGTGAAGGGAATAAAAGGTTTAAGGTTAAATATCAAGAGTGGGTCAGTCTGGGAATGGAATAAATCACAGAGGGTCACGGGATGGGCAACTGAGGTGAGGTGCTGAGACCACTGGTCCACCAATGGGACACCCTGCCCTGGAAGTGCTGGTCCTGGTGAATAGGTGCTTGGCTTCATCTCAAGGTGACTCTATTCTAATCTGGAAATGATAGTGACTCTGCATTAATAGGGGTGAAGGGGGAGGGGAAAGTGTTGGCCAGATCTGGCTTCCACACTGCAGGACGGAGAGTCACGTATGTGCATTCCTGTACGTGAATGAGGATAACAGAACATGGATAATCAAGTCCTCTCTACATACGAGCGAACCTCACAACAAGGAAGAAACAGATACTGTTATACCAGTGAGCAGTCCCAAGCTGACTCAGCAGGAAGAGGGAACCAGGGCTCTCGGGCTGCCTCCAGGGTCATCTTAGTAAGCTCACCTCACACGTGTCCCCACGACAGCCAGCCACCTTTCCTGGTGTCTATCCTCTTCCAGGCTCAGCTCAACACCTGGGATTAACGTGCCACCTAGTCCCTACGAAGCTCTACTTCGGTTGCATATATTGAGACAAACGTTGCAGGGACTTTCTTTGTGTTTTTCTATCCCTGCTTCTCATGGAGTATAGTATTAAATGAAAATATCTCTTGATTCAAAAAATAAAAAAGAACCAGCTGCAATGAGTCCCACCTCACAGCTCTCCAACATCTGGCAGGCAGCAAGGTCCAGGTATTGGCCTCCTCCTCCTCCTCCACTGTGACACTGCCCCTCAATGCCCACATCTGATGGGACTGAATCTCCTGTCTTATCCCTGTGGATATCTGGGTATATGGCCCTTAATGTAAACATATCCACACAGCAAAAAAGGGCAAAACCCTTCTACAGCTTGTAAAGTGAGAGGGGATAGTCTGGGTTCAAATTCCTGGTCAACGCTAACACGCTCCTGTTTTCTTAGACTAATGACTGAAGCTTTGAAGCCTCATTCTTCTCAAATCTAAAATGGGGGACAATAATAGTACAATAGAACTTAACCAGAGTTTTTCTGTAAAATAATTAAATGAGGTCACTTATGAAAGACTTAGCATGGAGTTCCACGCTAACTTGTTTTAAGAATTCACCAGGAAGTTAGAGTAGGTCATATCTACCCTCTAGAACAACTGGGATGTGACTGCAGATCAGAATGGGAAAGAGACAGACCATCCTTTTGGAAAAGGCAGAGGAGAGGAGCAGTTTGGAGGGAATCTTGTGCTGGACCCAGGCCAGCACTTCTGCCTGGAGGATGCACTCAGTGTCCAATGACAACCTGGAAAGAGAGGCCCCTGCAACTGCTCAGGTGAGACCCGGCCTCTGCTCACCCAGGCTTCCTAGGTGGGCTTCCCTGTGTGGCTGCAATGTGGCGTCACAGGAAGATCCCCCATGGCACTTTTAGTGGTGCTGCCATGTCCTCGGCTGGTGGCAATGCATCTGTGACTCCTCCTCTAGGAGGTCCCTCTGGAGGTCTTCTATTACCCATCGTCCCTACTCTGGCCTTGGCTCCTCACTGCCTGCAGAGTGAAACCAGAACGCTCTGCCCTCCTGGGGTCTCCCCAGGCTGGGATGATCACCCCCATTGGAGTCCCTCAGTGCCCAGCACTGTGTCCTTTGTACTCTTCTCTGTGCTCACACACCTGTGCTGGCCAGACTTGCCACGCCCTGCCCACTGCCGCATCTGCATCACCTGCCACATCCCTCACATCACATTACGGGTCAGCAAAGCTCTTCCCCCTGGGCCAGAGAGTGGGTAACTCAGGCTCTGCAGGCCGTCCAGCCTGCATTCCCAACGTGCAGAAATGGGTGGGTCTGAGTCCTGAACAAATTTTATTATTTATGGACAATGGGATTGAAATCTCATGGAATGTTCATGGGCCACACAGTATTTTTCATCTTTTGATTTTCCCCAACCATTTAAAAATGCAAAAGTAACTCCTGGCTCAGGGGCTGTACCTGAAACAAGCAGCAGGCCACAGCAGACCTTTGTTGGGACCTCTGCTGACCACGATCCTTAACTTCCTTTTTCACATTTTTTATTGAGGTGTAACTTACAGTTAGTGACCTTCTGTGCATTGATCTTTAGTGCAGAGTCTGTTGGACCTGGAGCACGGATGAAGCCACTCAGGCATCGTGCAGCTCCAGACGCAAAACCTTTCCAGAACCACAGAGGCCCCTCCTTGCAGGGTCTCATCTAAAAACCAGCCCCACCAACGCCCAGCCCCTTCTGTTACAAAAGCAGTCTGCACACTGCCTTTCGGTGGGAGAATGACCAGGCACCACCAGTCGAGAGAAATGCCAAGGCAAAGCTTTATGTTAAAATGCAGCTTCAAGTCATAAGCTGTGACAACCACCCAGAAGCGTGCCTTGTTTTCAGCAGTGGGGGACTCGTGCTGACCAACAGTGAGGGGCAGCTCGCCAGTCACCCCTGTGCGGCAGTCCCGTGGTGGCACTGCTCGTCCTTACCTGGGCCAAGGTGAGTGTGGCTTGCCTGCAGGTGCCACACCGAACTCGGAGCTTCCCCGGCTGCACCCCTTGACAGGGGCCTTTGCAGTACACGTAAAAGCTATTGTAGGTCGGTCTACCTGTGGGCACAAGCAGAGGGAGCAGCCGTCAGTGCCAAGTCCCAACTGAGACCAGAGTTCTCCCCATCAGCTTGTTAGAGGAAGGTTTAAAACTAACTCTTCGGGGACATTTTGAAACATTCGTGGAATAAATATACCAATGAGGAGATGATGATTAAATCTAGAAAATTTAGTTTTACGCTCAAATGAGTGGAAATCTTTTCTTTTTCTTGCCAATGGTTCTATGACTTACTCAATAAAGTAAGCAACCTGCAGCCAGGAGAGGGGCCAACTCTGTTTGCAGCACAGTGAAAGGAAATGCGCTCTTTGCTGCTCATGTTTGAAAGGGGGACAGGAAAGCAGAGACCACGGTTCCTGAATTCTATTTCATGCTTCTGAACACAGTTATGAAGGCTCCAGCCTTTTCCTCTTAAAAACTTTATCTGCATAAACAAACCAGCCCATTTCTCATGATATGTGTGATAGGATCACGCTAGCTGGTTTTCCAGGGGACTTGCCAGAACTCAGACACACATTAAATGAGAGCCTGAACCCTGAGGAGCTCCAGTTCCAGCAGCCGGGGGTTGAAACGGGTGCTTTGCATTTCATTAACATTCCCTCTAGCTAGATAAGTGCCATTCAAATAGTATAGTTTCAAGAGCAAAAGGTGAATGGAAAAGCAGATTCAATAATTAAACATCTCTGATCATTTCTCTAGAATGTCAACATACAGGGATTATGTTACTCCTTCAATTAGGAGAATCCTTTAGGATGGTCTCATACTTGGATATCTGAGGACAATTAACTTTATTCAGAAGCACTGATCAATAAAATACTAGTCTTTCTAAATTTCTAAGTTTCTACAATTACTTAGTAGTTATTTCTTTTAATCTTTACCTGTTGCTGGTGGGGGGGGGTAGCAGGAGGCAGGTGGTGTCACATGACATGACCTGGCATAATAGTTTATTTAAAATTTTATTGGTATCATCAGAAGCATCTATAAATAATTAGCATTTCTTATAATTACGAATGAGAAAACAGCCTTCCAAATGCACATGGTCTACTCAAGCAGATGGTACAGATACAATGAGAAAACAACAGAAGTTTCTGGAGTCCTAGGCAGTTCCATTTGTTTCCGTAATTTATTGGAAAAAGACTACGTATACATTTTGTATTGCTATTTGTTTAACCACCTTTATCAATAATGCAGGTGATAAAACTTTGTAAAATATAAGATGCAATAAAGATGTCAAGTTTTATAAATTTGTGATTTATAATACATTTTATAATTATTAGTCTCCAGAGATAAATATGTAGCTTTTGTTGTAAAGAGGAAATATAAATGTATGTTTACATTGATGTTAAATAATTATTTTTTAACACCCCCAGTAACATCAATGCCTGAATGGGGGAGATATCCAGGTTTATGATTCACATTATTATTGCCAAATATAATAATTACATAAGATGTATTCTTATGGTTTATATACCTTACATGAAACATAGAACCATATCAATGTTATATAAATAATCATAAAATAATACAGGACTGACTAGCAAAAGATCACAAGAACGTGACAATTCTAACTGCAGTAACAACTTGGTGAAGGTGGCAGGAGCCCTTACTGCTAAAACCTTTATCAGCAATATGAACAAATCCAATTTCACAATTTTTATAGCCTACTGTGAAGGTTAAACAACAAAAAGGAGGAAGACATAGAACAGGGGAAGCGAAGCTTTCCGAGGGGAGTCAGGGTTTCCGGGGCCAGCACTGTGCAGAGCGATGCGCAGCCGCTTCGGAGAGGAAAAGAGGAAAACGGGCGGCACCGAGGTCCCCTCCCGGGGCAGCCGCGGCCTGGGGGCCTGGGTACCATCCAGCCCCGGAGCCAAGACTGGGAGCCCTCCCTCCCTCGGCGCTTCAGGCTTCACTGAAGTCCTTGAGCAGAGATTCAGAAACCCTGCGTGCCCACGGGTGTGCCCTCGAAGCGCGGTGACACGCCATCAGGGACACACTCTTCCCACGCCGGCCGCAGGGTGGGACTCAGGGCCAGCCTGGGGAAGACCAGGGTCAGGCGTCCCGCTGCGCCACGCAGGGGGCCTCAGGCACACCAGAGGCCGCCTTCCCACGGCCCCTGCCTGTCCGGCCGCACACACAGGTTAAACTTGGCATCCTCTGCGGCACGCTGGCCCGGGCGCCCTGGACAGCCATAAAGCCACACACCACCGGGAAGCTCCTGGGCAGCGTCCCGAGGCCGAGGTTCCGCCCCCGCAGATGGGGTCATCGCGGCCAGGCAGCTCCAGGCCCCAGAGCCTTCCACTGGGCACGCAGATGTCCCCCAGAGGCCCCAGGCTCCCGGACTTCTCTGTGGCCTTCCTGGCCCCAAGTCATTGGGGCAGCTCCTCCTGCTCCCCTCACTTTCTCTAATAAGTTTAAACTTAGAGAAATATTACAGAGATTGTGCCAGTCACGTCTTTCCAGTTTGTCAATTAAGAACATTTTGGCACATTTGTTTGGGCACATCCTGTGTGTGTGTGTGTGTGTGTGTGTGTGTGTGTGTGTGTGCATGCCCACATACACACACATATACTATATACTATATAGATATGTATTTCCTCATATACTATATACTCTATATTTACACATTTTTCAACTGAAGCTTTTGCACTGAAGTTGTAGATGCTATGCTTCTTCATCCTAAATTGTTCAGCTCCTTAAAAGAACTTTAAATAATAAAGAATATAATAGATATATTTCAACTCTATACAGATCTATATCCATCTATCTATCTATACAGAACTTCTTGCACGGTTTGGTTAGCTCAGTGGCTCTATTTGTAGGATAATCAAGCACACTTGAAGCATATTTTATAGAACTCTGTGATGGTTCACGAGCTATTAAGCCAAGAATGCTTGTGACTCTTTGACCCAACCCATTTAGGTTACACTTAGTGAAGCCAAGTGCAGCCAGCCTCTGACTACCTCAAGCTGCAGAGCATCCCAGCCCCTCCAGAGGCAGGGTGGTGCACAGCACACCCAAACTTGACTTGACTGGGAAGCCTGTGCATCTTGGAAACTGTATCGCTCAGGGGGAAAACATGTAAAGAAGAATTCCGAGGAAGGATGTGTAGGCTTGATCCACAGTGGGCTAACCTGCTAATGTTGGCTCAGCTTCCTCAGGAGCACCTGGGGAGCCTGCCCAGGAGCCAGTCCTCCCCTCACACAGAGCCATCAAAGTGTGAGCCTTCTACCCCACTGCTATGATGATTTTGCAAGTGAGTTCTATTGATTTCAATCAGAAGTTGGTTTTCTTTTCCTTGCAGGGAAGTTAAAAGCACAGTGAGCTGTGGTCCTCTGAGAGGCCAGGAAGGTGAGCCAGAGCACAGGGTCCATTGGTTTCTGCCATTCCTTAGCATTATAATTCTGACATCTCTAGTTTTTCTCTCCCACTTTTCTCATTGATTCTTAGTCGAGTCTCTCTTTTCTCTTACTTTATTTTCTTGCTCTAAAAATTTGCTAAAGCGTTAATACTAGCAAACTATCAAGGAAACCCCACATTTAAAAAGAAATATTTGCTTTGCCCTTTTGTAAAACAGCATAATCTTCAGATTTTTTTGTATATTTTAGATAATGGGCTAAAATCCTGAAAAATCATTTTCGATTTTTTTATTATCCTTCATTTTTGGTGCTGTGGATTGAACCCAGGGCCTTGCACATGCTAAGCAAGCCCACCCAATACCAGCCCCAATGACTCTTTAAATAAGATATAGAAATTTAGGAAAAGTCATTCTGATTCTGAGGAAAGTTTTCCATGAAACTCAGAAGTTTCCATGATGGCCTGTCACAGCAAATCACGAGTTTAATTGATTGGATAATTTGTTTTCAAGGGAGAGAGTAAGATGTAACATGTCTTATACCTAGGTAAAATAATGTTCTGTATCAACGTGCTCTCACAGAGCGAAGCAGTGGGGACACAATTGACATAAACTGATATTTGTCTCCCTTGAGCACGTTACAATATTAAGTAGAACATCACTGCCCAGGAGAGCTTCCTGTTGAAAGAAATGTCCTTCATCTGTTTCCTCTCACCTACATACATAGACTATGTGGACATTAACTACCTGTGGTTATTGAGAATTTGAAACTTAGCTAGAAATTACTCTTTTTTTGTTTTATTAGTTTTAAGCAATTTCAATTTTAAAGTCTGTCTGGGTAGCAGCTACCCAGCTGGACAGCACAAAAATTTTAAGTGCCCCATATCTGGCCACCCTCTGGCATCAGCACCATAGACAACCAACAATGCTAAAGAGGCTCTTCTGCCACCATGGAAAACACATGGCTCATTTTAAACTGTGCTAATCGTAATGATAGATGTTGACCAGGGGGAAGGGGAAAGGGGAGGTCTGAGTCGGAGGCACGGAGTCAGGCAGGTGGGTTTGGGTCCTTCGCAGTGCTACAGCAGAACAGGTCTTCTATCCCGTGGTGGGCTGTTTCCTTCCCCAAGTGGATCAGCTCCTGACTTTAGCCTAGGCATCCATCATGCCACCCGACTCTTATGACCACCTTTGAACACTGACCTGAGATGTCAGGATGGTCACGTTCATCACTGGACTAAAGGACATTTCCAGAGAGCACTAGCCTTGGCACTAGAGGGAGGTCTCTAGTAAGAAAATGACCTGTGCTGAAGTTCCAGTTGGAAGAGCACTTCTTATAAGAATTCTTTCTTGTGTGTGCCCATAAAGATATTTCTTCCTAAAAACTAATGTCTATGTGCAGGAAAGCAGACAGCTTCATCCTGTCACCTTTAAACAATTGTCCTCTCCCACATTGACATAAAACTGTTAGTTTCAGACTGAACATTGCACATGGAATAAGTATAAAGTGCTCCACCTGGGTCCAATCAGCATGGACTTCCTGCATCACCTCTTCTGCACAGTACCTCTCCTTGGATCATAGAAAAGATGAGGATTATATCCATTTTCACGTAATGCAAATGATGGGGCAGGGTGGGGAAAAGTTCAGTG